TAGTAAAACCATTTTCCAACACATAATTATACCAAATTAATTTTTGGGGATGGCAACGTACTCATATTGCCCGATTTCCATCTCAGTAGATGCTGGTCTTGGTCTATTTCGTGGCTTTCATGTTATATTATAATATTTTGGTGAACAATATAATTGAACTTAGCATGTGTTCTGTCAAATATCCATTGAAGGAGAAATATCTCGCGTGCTTAAATTTTACTATGTGGTTGGAACAAATTTCCCAGAATTTATACTCATACTGGAAGGAATACAGTTATTTCAGATTAGAATATTTTGAATGTACGAGCTACCTTGATTTCTTGTATGAGGTTATGCATTACTATTAAAGTTGTTTTTGGCATGTAAAAAAATGCAGATTCACTCAAAGTTATCCTTCTTGACCTGATACGTTACATTATTTTTTATATATTTGTAGTCTTTATTATTGTTGTAGATATTATTTTTTACAATTGTAAAGTAGATCCATATTTAGTTTGTAAAGTTGTATATGTGCGCAGGCTGTTGAATTTAGCAAATTAGTGTCACCATTGAGACCAGATGAACCAGAAGATGTCATTGTATCTTCTTGTCAAATATTGACTACTTTCTTTCAGCAACGACAGGAGCAGAAAATCGTTTTCATTACACAACATGGTTTGCTTCCTCTAATGGAATTACTTGAGGTTCCACGAACTCGTGTATGTAGTCCTTATCAAGCTCAAAGCCTGTTATTGGCACCTACTGAATTATGTGATATTTGTTACTTGCATTATTGGCACTACTACTACGAAATTTCAGGTCATTTGCTCTGTGCTGCAAGTCCTGAATCACATAATCAAAGAAATACTGACTTTCAGGAGAATGCTTGTCTTGTCGGTCTGGTAAGTATTTTTAGAGTTCTTTTCAGTAGTCTCTCTCTGTTTTTGGTGTGATGATTTTGAATGTTTGTAAGTGCTGTCGATTGAATTCCATCCGCATGTATAATTTTTATTTACCTTCCAAAAGAATCCACTAATTTTGTAACGAGAATATTACTTATGCATGCAATTGATGAACAACGAGAGACCTAGTTTCTTTATATGATGAGATTTTAATGGATCCTAGAGTACATCTGCATTATGTAAATTAGAAATCGGTTTGGAGTTTGGACTTATAAAAATAATTTATTTT